CGACTTTGGTGGTGGTTGTAGTATGGAGGTGCGGATTTCGTTGAATACGAGTGGGTGGTGGAAATAGTTGGCGTCCGAATTATATGTATATGAGGACGACTTTCGTCGCATCGGCGCCACTCGTTCACAGATTCCACCGGCAAAGTTGGGTCAAGGCGCGCCATATGGTAGGGTGTAATTACTAATCGCGGGGGGCCCTCCCGCGCCTGCTGCATCCCCACTCTCTTCCGTCCAACCAAACCTGGCCACACACGACATTATGGGGGTGGGCGCTGCGTTCGCCTAGATTACTCAACCAGTCAGCGTTCACCAGAATGGTCTTTGCGCTGAGTACACTTTTGTGGACATCGTATACCATGGTAGACCAAGGTAATCCAAACATCCGTCGACGCATTAACGCAAGCGGCCTTACCTGCATACTGAATCTACCAACCCTTTTGCTTTGAATAAACAAGGATTTTTCTCATAACTTTGCTTCCTTGAATTCCGTTTAGGATTTACTTTCAACCTTGTCTCCCATAAATGTCTTGTGAGTTTGATTATCTGGCAGGGCCAGGAGGACAGCATGTGTTCGGTGCCGGACGTTCCTCTAGGTGGCCGTGTGATCTACGTAGCTACTTTGTTGAAGCTCAGTTTTTGGATGCCGGTGGGTGGGTTTGCCCCTAGCGAGCGCCATGGTTGGCACTGCACTAGTCAAGAAGGCTTCATGGTGACATGCATAGGACCTAGAATTTGGGAGCGGTCGGAATGGCCTTTCAGATATATTGTTCACCTAGGAAAGTGGGGGGTTCTCCAGTCGATGAGGCTTGCTAAAGTGCAATCAGTTAACAAAACCCCTGACGGACAAATATATTCTATTGTCAGGCTGAACATTTGTTCAGCTTCCAAAGGCACGAAGTTCTGAAATTCCCTATGGAAAGGTTTTTGAACTGGGCATTGGTGGTAGACACAGACGACGGTTATGCCTGCGCCCAACGCTATGGGGAGTTTCGCCTTCCACTGGAAGCTGAAGTGGGATTTCCGCCTGTCCCTGTAGACGTTAGGGTCGTGTTTAATGACAGGCGCGCGGGGCCGGACAGAAACTTTTTGTGAAGCGTCCTTGTCACCGATTGTTTCACCGACGCCCATCGACGGGCCCTGGCAACTCTCTTATTAGCCGCGCGTTACCCAAGTCGGCGCCTGGCCCCTGCTACGTGTACTGTGCCTCTATTAAAACGACTGGATTCTTACCCGCGCAATATTTCCACAAAGGCCATATTAGAAGCTATCTTATCAACTGGCAGCCTTCAAAGCCACGACTGTTAGCCCGTCGGGATATCTTCAAGGGCATCAGCTGTAGTACAGTGAGGGATGCATTGATGCGCCTTGAAAATGGATTCCCTACTGTTGACTGCCCGGGCCTGTCAACCAGCTGGTTATAAGATTGGACGCAATTGCCTACGCGGCGTGAAGGCCTACACCTGAGGCGTGCCACTACACGAATGCACGACAGTAATTATTGGCTCACGCCGACTCATCGTAGCTCGATAGTCGTGTGCCATATACCAACCTGATACCGTTTTAGTCAAGCTCTTTTACAGCGCAGCTCAAGAGGCTATACAGACGATAACACTGAAATTTCGGTCAGTGGATGGGGAGTACAAAGTAACGTGCTTGTACTGCATTCATGGTAAAATACTTTACATCCAACATGGACCGAGATAACCTTTTAGGTCAGGCTAACACATGACTCAAATCTTCATCCATTTGGCTTTCCCCCGCAGGGTTCTGACTGAATTCCGATTTCGTTCTAACATGATTGTCACCGTGAGCCTGGTGCCAGCAACCGTGGACTTTCTTCTTGATCACCCACCTCTCGACATGTTCTAACTCGTCTAAAGCTCTTTTCACTTCACACTGTTGTCGGGTAAAGGGATAACCGCCGTAATGTACTCAACCTGTGAATCTTGTGTCATATGTTTAAAAATACTTGCGACTTATGTATTTCAATCACCGATGCTATACTCAGATTGGTTATTTTGTACGTTGTCAGGTCCTATCCAGTTTGCTGTCCATATCACTTGACGTGTTCGAAATATTGAATCAGTGATCGATTAAAAACATTTGTTTGAGTGAATAACGTATTAACCGAGAAAATTGATCACTCTGTGGGTCGGAAATTAAGACGGTTCTGTTGTCCATCATACCACTTGGCAGCGCATATTTTGCTAGGGAAAATTTCAAACTTATTTTTGCGGCTGTATTTGCCCAAGTCCTTGTTCTGGCACCCTGTCTTTCACGGGTTAGAAGGCCTCCATTTGCTCAACTTCACCGCCAGCTAATCACAGCTATTTACTCATGGCCGTACAACAATGGGAACATTTCTCCTATTCGACTCTATAAACCAGCGCAACTTTAATCTTCCAGGCAGACTCGCCTTGCCGATTTGATATATGGTTTCTATGGGGAATAAAGCCTTCTCAGTGGTATCTCTTACAGAGTAAAAGCAAACCGCCCTGGGACTGTGGTTGTTAAGACACAGTCAGTAAATTAAGTAGTGTGTCATATTAGTTAAATTAGAAATTCACAATTGCGACAGAATCATCAAGGAACACACTCCTATCATCCTCCCCGACGCCTGTTCTGCCAACATTGTAAACTGAGCTTCATGCTTTTTCCATCACGACCGCGCTGTCCTATCATTCACTGGTTTGGCTGGCCACTTGCGAATCCATCGCTAGCGCGGACGACCATTAGTGCTCGGAGGCCCGACATCCCCCCAAAACGCCTCATCTGCCTGCACTGCCTAGCACATTCATATACCGCATGTGAAGTTTACGACCACACGTGTACTGGCGAAAATCTTCATTAAGGCAACACTGTCCAGGACCCCCACGGCACTCTGCACTGTCGTACAAACAAACTCTCTTTGGCGGTCACACACGTGCACACAAAGCCTCCCACAGCGCTCTGTGTCTCTCTGCCGCACGCAGTGATCCACATTGCCACCGCCGGTACGGCGGACGAAACGTCACATATCGGTACATGTAAGTCTAAGCGATGTGGAAGGCATGTTTTTTGGCGTAGCCTGATACATACAGCGGAGGGCCAGATCGTGCATGTGGCATGCGTATACGGGCGGTTTAGCTTTGTCAGCCATCGCGCCAAATCTGATCACCAGCCGGTTTACAGGCTTGGGCAGTCGACTAGTGCATGAGATGGGGAAGAACGAGTGTAGCCGAAATCAAGAACCCATCCGTACGGCACGTCAGCCTAGTCCTCACTAATAATGACCTGACCCGTTAAGAATCGTGACTTGGAGGGCGGCCAACTGATGAGACAACTCGTCCCTTCCCAGGACTGAGGGTTAAGCTACAAGCGGTCCCCCTTAGCGTGACTTCTGTCGCACTCTTACACGTGTGGCTCTTACAGAAGTGCCGCACGTGATAGGTGCGAACGGGTTAATAGGATTTGTCAGTCATAACACCCACGCCTACCTCTGGTCGTCTCGACTTTGTCCCGCCTCCGGCATAGGGGGACGGGGCCGGAGTGCGGGCGCAGATTCCGCGCATGTCAGTCTCACTTTAACTCCTGCGCAAGTAACCGGTGTTTCGCCCACTCAGTGGAACACACTTCGGACGTCGTTACTTACGACGGTATGAAGTAGAGGAGTGAACGACTTCACATACCCGCTGAATGTTACGATTATTCCGGGCGGCTCTCAACTGCTCTCCAGCTCTCATTTTTGCTGACCACGTTCCAGTAATTGTCCTTGATCGCCAAGCTAAGCCAAATGATGGGGGCTGACTTTTGTGTCATCATGCGCGATAAACTCTGGACTAGTCCCCATCTTTACTCCGCACCCTAAAAGTGTCCCATGGAGAGGGCGATGTGCAATTCCGTAGATGGTCTAGGTTAATTTGAGTCGTCGTCCCGCCTTTACTATCTCATGACCCACGACTGAAGCATTTTGTCCCCGGTACGAAGCTGAAGTAGGCTGAGTTTGGTAGCCGTCCGCAATGACTAAGCAGACATATCGAGGGGTAGGACTGCTTGCCTCCTCGCGAAGAGGAGCTCGAAAATGTCCTCAATTAAGTGATGGCAAAAGAGACGTTCAGCCAGCTGACTGTGCCTTGGGGGCGTAAAGCATACGGGCGAAACAATTAAAAATATCAACCATCCTGTGCCCTTCCCTATGCTTCCCCACTGTTTGCTCGAGTCACAGGTTCGTTTCAATATGGACCGGGCTGTACTCCGCGAGACCCTTCTCTCGGAACGCAGAACTGGTCGAAGTTGAAGTGGACATCAAACTACAGAGAATCGAGGCGCTGTGATCGTTTTCACCGTCCTACAATTGCCTTCTTCACTCCATAGGATTTTTGAGGGTCGGCTAGTGTGTACCTGAAGTGCCATCAGCACTGAGCCAAGTCACGATTGAGAGGAAAGAATAGAGGACATCGGATTGAGGAATTTATCTTCTATCTTCTAAATACTTAAAAGTTGAAGGGTTTTTCTGTGTGTTATAGGTAATCTCGGAAAGTACTGCACCGATTGCGCCGAGCTTTTGATACAACCTTGCCCGCGCTTAGGGCTGGGTTTTTTTATGCCTACCTTCATAGTCATGCAGATGGTATGCTTGTGATGGGTAAAAAAACTGGGTTTTTTCCGGCATAACAACGCCACCTGCTGTGGCCACTTGACCGACATTCCCTCAGACGCACGTGCGCCCGCCGAGCCACTTGACCGACATTCGCTCAAACGCACATGCTCCGCCCGACGTCCGCGCTCATCCACCCTACAGATGCTTGAGCATGCCCTCCCCTCCCCACCTGGGCCGATGCAATATAGGCAGCTAGGCCAACCACCCACCCTGTAGCAAAAAAAACGCAACTCCTGGGCTCCACTTGAACTTGCCCCACACTACCCACATAATGGGGCTGCCACCGCTTCTGCGATTCGCAGGCGTGATGCCTTTAACACCGCCCCCCCGCACAACCCCCACGTAATGGGGCCGTCACCCAATGTCAGCTCAGTGTCGTGCAGCCCGGCTTGAGGAAGCCCGGTTGCGGTAACGGCTACCGCGTTCTGCAGCTTCAGGTCAGCTTCGTTCAACAACAGAATGAACACTATCAGCTGAGAGTGGCTGAAAGACGCCAGCGAGGAACAGCAGACAAGCGTTAAACACGACTCCGTGTTCAGCATTCACGCTGCGTGATGCTGCTGTGAACTTGGTATGACAACAACCGTTGGAAGACTAACGATTTTGCCGTCCACATATACCGGCAGTCGGAGACCGATTTCAACGCATTATCCATTTACTTTTCGGGATGGTGCCGATGGATATCACTTCAACGTTGATATGATAAATGTGGTCAGTGACGAGGGAACGCACATGAAATGCAGCGCAATGAACTACTACTCCTACCGACTTATGATTAGACAGAATATAGGTAATCCCTTTTTGAAATGACGTCACTTGCTTCATCACTACATTGTGGATATGCATGCAAAAATCGAAAGAGGACGCCTGCTTTTCATTCGCTTGAATCAGACCAAGCTGCCCTCTGAAGAATATATTCCTTTGCATGATGCAGTTGTAAACAACGGTAATACAACTAATGTTGTAAGACTAAAGATTTTGTTGTCCACATAAACAGACAGTCCGCGCCATATGCTCGGGTACGCTCGAGGTGCAATTGCATATGTTTGTCAGTACGGGGCGTCCAAACCTACTCATCACATTCACATGCATCCTAGTTTGGGGGATATTTATCAGTTCTTACCTCCTGGGCTACCGCCGGTGAATAGGTATGACATCACAGCACGTGTTTCTAAGAAGAAACTGATATCGCTGATGAACTTCATGGAGTAACACGAGGCTTTTTGGTCTGTGCGCTGCTGGATATATTTGGCGGAATGGCAACAGACGGGACTGCCCCACGAACACGTTTGAATCTAAATCTATAACTAGACCACCTCCAACGAAATCGCCGAGGCAATATGCGCTGAATTACCTGACGCCGACGTCGACAAGGATTTGCCCGAAGTCGCGGCCATGAACATGATAAATGAACTTTGCGGTGCCCTGAGTCCCAATTCTCTCTCCCCCTCAGCCCTCATCCCGGTATAATAGACAGAAAGCGCTCTAAGAGATATCCTTGGGCATTCGTATACACCACAGTTACCGGTAACGACCGAAGTCCCTTGTACCGAAAACGATCAACGGAAGACGTCGGCAACTTGGCAACCGTACGAATTCGAACCGGTGACGTACAAGTCGGTAACCGCTGGGCTGTTTCGTATTCGAATTTATTTTTAAAAGTACACGAAGTTCACATAAACGTGGAAAACTGCAATTCCGGGAAATGAATTCGGTACATTTGTAAGTACGTGAGAAAAGGCAGTGACATGGCTGTTTTTGGCCTGCAACACGAAAGGAGGAGAAGGGATGTGGACATCCAACTCAGTGAAATCGCACAGTGCTGTTCACTTACAGTACGATTAGTAAATGGGCAATGCGTTTACTTTACCGATGCAAATGTGCAACAGGCCACCGGCAACACACATTAACTGCGTTCTTCCCGTTAAGTCAAACTGACGCGTTTGCGAAAACATGGCCGTATTCGGAAGTGCCTACGTATTACACAGGGAATGCGTGCAGAATTTTTTTTACGACACAAACGAGAGCGAGTCGACGGACACCTTGGCATATTCAAAAGAGCTGCGATAGGCAGACTACACAGCGTGCATCTCAATCAGGACGACTGCTCCTTATTCCGCAAGCTGTTGGTGAATGTGTCCGGTTCAACGTCTTTCCAGCAATTGAAATCTGTCAACGGCGTTACACACTCCATTTTCCGTAGTGCATACCAGGCTCTCAATTTATTGGAAAACTACCGGCAGTGTTTCGTGCGACACGTCCCATCCACATTGAATTCCTTCATTGTTTGCAATCATACTGACCGTCCGCTCTGCTTCATCTCCAACAGATTTATGGGAGAAATATAAATCGCACATGGCTGAGGATATCTTCCGTCGACTACGCAAGGAAAATTCCAAATGCGGATTTCACAGCAGGAATCTACAGCGAGACGTTAATAGTGATTGGGGATACGTGCGTAAGAAATCGCGAAAAAAGTTCCGAATCAACCGGGAATGTCCTCACCAAACCGATCTTCTGCTATTTCGTTAGATGTGGATTTTCGCCGTGAGCAAAAAAGCGCTCGAGGCCCTGGATCGAACACTGCAAGATTTGCGCGGAAACAGCAGACCATTTGGAGACATTACCGCTACTGCTTGCAGGAGACTTTAGGCAAACACTGCCCGTAATTCCTCCATCGGCAACAGCAGACGAAATAAATGCCTGCCTGAAATACTTTTCTTTGTAGCGCCAAATCCAGACGGCAAAATTCACTACAAATATGCGTGTCCAGCTGCAAAACCAGCGATCAGCTGAGGTATTCTCACAGTAATCACTGGCAACTGGGAATGTAACGGTGCCCGCTGATCCGACTTCAGGAAGGATTCCCCTACGTCTTAGCCTCGGCAATTTCGTGTCCTCAAAAGAGGAATTGGTTGAAAAGGCATATCCCACTATTCAGACCACTTTCAACAATCACGACTGACTGAGCGAACGAGCTATTCTTGCGGCCAAAAACAAACACGTGTACCATCTTAACCATATTATTCAATCTAAGTTTCAAAGCGAGGCAGTCATATATACGTCCGTCGACACTGTTGTGAAAGTAGACGATGCAGGTTAATTATCCAACAGCGACTTTGAATTCACCTGAGCCGCAGCAACGCGTGACGGGGCCCAGCTAGTTCCTTATAAAACTCCGAGCTGCTTTCTGGGACGTCAGCGATGCCGGCGAAACTAGGACGCTTGTCCATGGCGCTGTTCTACGCCTGAGAGAGTGAGGGTCTTTGGCATCGGACTAGGTCAAGGTCGCTCGTGTCCAATTGGAAAGTGTTTATGCTATCTGAGACATGCGCCACTTGTGCCCATACCTTGTGCGTTGTCCCGCGCGAGTGGTGTCGACCTTGCCTGTCTGGAAGCACGCGCGTCCTCGCTGATGTTGGGGCGGGGGTGGGGTCTACAGAGTCTGGGATACTGTGAGGTGACTTTGAGGCGGCAAATTTGTGATGGGGGAGGAGTGACCCCTTGAGTTGTTTGAGGTCCGAGACACAGGTGGACGGAGCGGTGGTGCGGGTCGGTAACAATGCGGGGAAAATTCGCCACCACTGTCGGCGTCTGTACCCCTCCAATGATGAGCAGCCACAACGTTCAGGGAAAGTCTGCACGCCCTCCTACTGTACGTGCCAAAGGCGGACAAACTAACTGTCCGCAGTCACCTCAATGCCCCGAAACAGGCACGTACAACGCCAACTCGGACGGTGGTAGTTGATGGTCATGAAGCAGGTCACTGCAACGGTAGTAAACTCATTCTATTGATGACCTTTGCCTAACAATAATCCCTCGCCACCAACACCAGTTTCAGCTTCCCAATTGTGCGAAGACAACATGGATGCACCTCCAATCTCATCAATGACAATTGCTGGACTACGTGTTCGTCAAGGAGCTTGACCGTCGTGACGTGCTCGTGACAAAGGCAGAGAGAGTTGTTTGTTGTCTCGAAAATAAGGCTACAAATCCAATCACTAAAGGGGATCAACGAAACTGACACGACTGGACGCAGTCGAGACTATAAAACTAAATGAATGTCCATATGGGTCACGAAGAAATCCCGAGAACGAACACTTTGGGCACAAATGGCAGAGACCACGGATAGCCAACAGGACCGCTGCTACCGAAATACTCATATTCACAAACCATGGAAGACAGAACTGGTTAAATGGCCACTACTATTACTACTACTACTACTACTACTACTACTACTACTACTACTACTACTACTACTACTACTACTACTACTACTACTACGACGACGACGACGACGACGACGACGACGACGACGACGACGACGACGACGGCGACGACGACGACGACGACGACGACGAAGTACAACAATCGCCATCTGAGAAAAATCCGAGTCGCATGACCAATCCGAAAAAGAGATAAAACCCAAAGTGGAAATCCATTCTTTCAGTGTCGTCGCCAAATGCAACAAAGGCCAAGTGAGATTAAAAAATAATCACCTGACTACATGGTCAGACGACATTCAACGACGGGCAAATTCTGGTTAAATAAATGAATTCAGGACCATCAAGATATAGCCAGCCCAGCTGCTCGGTTCGGACGACACAATCGGAAAAATTGCAGGCTCTTAGTCATGAACAGGATGCTTCAGGAACATCCCTAACCAACGATCTGCCATGGCGAAGTTTTCTAGGGTGGAGATCATTGCAGGTTTCGATAGCACACCCTGCCCGCAGTCGAAAACTACAAGCACATAAAATCATGAAAGAGTTTGTCACATTGTTCTACGAGAAGTGACGGCTGCACCTAACCTCCCATAATTTCAAGGACTGAACCATTGATCACTTACACGGAACTTTTATATGTTGAGGTGGGTGCAAGTCAGCGAGCTATGAATGCAGACCCTCACAGTCAGCATCGGGGCCGACATGGCAGTACCAAGACTCAAGGAATTCTCTCGCCTGTGTGGTGTTGGCCATGTCGATCACATCAGTGCCACCCCATTCGAAACAGTGGTCGCAGACGTGAGAGACACGCATTGCCAAGTTAAACAAAAGGATAATTATCGCATGGCAGGCGATAACTGAGATAAGTTTGCTGTTCTTTGGATATGCGGAATAATGTCTTTATATGTGCAATCTGCGCTGCTAGTTAGGTATTTTCGTTCATATCGCTCAGGCCCCGCAGTACACACCTCGGGTAGAGGATCTTGGATTTCGGAAAAAAACCACGGAGCTATGCATATGGCCTTCATGAACTTCACTTCTACTTATTTCCTCGGTTGTCCATCATTTAGTGTTCGTCTGCCCTTTCTGTATTGAATGTGGACGTTTGTAAAGCATGAAGCGAACTTTCCTAGCGTGGACTAAATGACAACGAACAATATCCATTTATAAAGAAGATGAACAAACGACCTCTGGAATAGTAGGTGTATTAGTCTGGGCTTTCGGTCTCGTACAGGAGGCCACCGTCAGAGACTGTGAGAATGCGCAATCAAATGAGCAGTTTTTGTAGGCAAGCCATGAAAGGGGGATATGAGTGCAGAGGATGGTATTCGCGATAAGCTGAGTCCCACGCCGTCTCACGGTGGCGTGACTGCGTGCACCCTTGGCTGGAAATTGAGTCTCGCCTCTTGGCTGCGGGAACGGAGCGCGTGATAGCAGGGCTAGGGGGGGGGGGGTATGTCAAAGTGTCTGTTGATAGAGTTAGTGTCAGACCACCAGGCCTCCAACAGTTCTCGCCCTGTCTTATAGCTGGCCCGCGCTACTATCCACGCGAAGTTGAATTCGTGGCCTTCCTCCAGGGTATGAGTGTCGACCTGAGACAAGGGGTCGCCTCTCCGGACCGCCCATTTATGCTCCGTTATTCGTGAGCTAAGTCGTCGTCCGGTCTGTCCTGTGTAGTGGCGAGGGCAGTCCCGACATGGGATCTGATAAACGACACCCGATTGTTCTCCCACGTCTAGTCGGTCCTTCACTCGCATGATTTTGTCGCGCATGGTTGCTGTCGGACGATGAGCGATAACCCATGCCGAGCTCTCCAGCAATACGTTCCATCGCTTCGTGCACGTTCTTTATACATGGTAGAGGGTGCCAGAGTGTTGGCGGCTCTCCTCCGTTTGTTCGCCGAGGGTGCGTGTGGACGCAGCGACTGACGAAGCTGTTCGGGTATTCAGTCCTTGCCAGTAGGTCCCGAAGATGCCGTAGTTCTCGCACTCGTCCCTCTGGCTCACTCTAGTGCGTTTTTGCCCCTTGGAAGAGTGTTCCAACACGGCTGCGTTTATGCGTCATTGGGTGGTTGCTGTGGTAGTTGAGAATCTGAGTCGTATTAGTCGCTTTTCTGTGCACCGTGGTGCTGAGTTCACCGTTGGGTGTGCGGGTGACGAGATCGTCAAGGAAAGGCAGCTGTTTGGCATGCTCTTTTCCCCTTGTGAACTGAATGTTCGGGAAAATGCCGTTAAGCAGACCTTGAAAGTCGGCCAGTCTGCCTCTTTCAATTATAACGAACGTGCTGTCCACGTACCGACGCCAAAATGCAGGTTCATAGTGGTCGAAGACGACTTGTTTCAGCTCCTGCAAGACTAGTTCTGCAACCAGGCTGGATAATGGTGAAGTATTTAGTACATCTATGATACCCACTAAATAAGCCCGAGTAGTGACTACGAGCGCTTTCTTATATACTCATTTCTGGGACAGAGAGTAGACAGTTTTTCCGTAGTTCAGTTGGGCCTGGCACGCCCATTTCTGGTGATTCATTTTCTGGTCCTTTCATCATCTTCAAACTACATATGGAGCCCACTTACTTCTTTTCCTTGACTCACACAACGCGTCTGTTTTTCCCTTAATTAGGATGCTACTGAATCCGAACTGGAAACTCTTTAACGCAGGAACAGGTGACATCGGAAATCCCCCAAAATGAGATACAGTGGAACGGAATAAAAGGCGGATAGAAATTACTTGTTCGGCCCTCCGAACAGAACACAGAAATAGAAGAACGCCCCGCCCACGTAATACAAGTGGCTTTGCGCTAAATTCAAAGAGAGATAAATATTCTCGTGTCCTAACTCCAACACTAACCCTATCCCAAAACTCAATCGTGGGCCTAATTTTAATCCTAACCCTAATTTTCCTGGAAGTTAGCGCAAAGCCACTTGAAATACGGGCGGTTCTAATTCCTGTTTCCTATCGGGAGGGCATGTATGCAATCCCTACCTAAAGGCCAACGATTACGTATGACTCGCTTGCAGACTAGGAGAAGGCTGATAAGCACACAAAGCTAGGGAACGCGAGTTGAGAAACGGGAGCGGACGCTGATAACTTAATCGGCCTCATTTAATCTCGTGAATACAGGCTTTCCAGTCATGAGGCCGGCAGCCTTGGCTAGCCCCTAAACAATGCGTGCTTACATGATAACACTAAAGGCCATTGCACCTCCTCTGATGTTAACGGGTCAGCATTATTGCAGTTGGGCGCAAATTCAGCTAGCCTTTGATCAGAAGTGATATTTTCGTGAATTCGAGAACGCAGTGACTGGCTAGTCGTGCTGTGAAGTCAAGGATTTTCTTGGTCTGTGGGTGGACTGGTGCGCGCCGACTGAGGTCATGTTTCTGATCGCCCGACCAGCGGGCGACCTCAGGCGGGCGACAACGCGCGTTTACCAGGCAGCTGACGCAGGCTGGTGTCGGTGACTAGCGCATGTCCGACCTTCATAAGGTCACGCTGTTGACCAATCAGTAGGCGGGAGGCAGGTTTCTGGTCAAACTTTCCCACCAAAAAAAGACCTAGACACGTTTTCCTGTCAGCGTCATGGTACGATTTCAAAGCCTAGACTTTCTTCATACAGAATACTTCCAGCCACCCGAATCAAGTCCCATTGGAAAGAAGTCGTTGGTTAAGTACTATATATTGTTGTTATGGTTTAAGATAGATAGATAGCTCGAACCAATTTACCTAGAGGAAGCGTGTGCATTTCTTTTTTTTTTCGTTATCGAAAATCAAATATCCTGGAAAATTTGCACAGGAAATAGTTGGAAAGTTTTGGCTTGGAAAATTCGCCACTCAAGCGCGTTTTGGAACATTTGTTTGAAAACTAGTGCATTCGAGTAGACGTTTGTCTATTACCGATGCTCACAAAGAATTAAACGTCCTCCAGCTATATTCTAATTGCGAGTTTTTGGGAAGTTGAAACATCCATACCGCCTAAAAACGCGTCGTTTCAAGGAAGATAAAGCGACTACTAAAGTTCGCTAAAGACAAAAGAGTCCTCGTTTTTTAAAAGAAAATCCTAAGGAGAGGGAACGTTATGTAGTATCTTTTGTGGAATAATCGTGGAAAGAGGCCCGTACCGATCTGGTTGCGAGGCACGCTCATGCTCTTGCGTCTTGGGACTCAGACTAGAGTCCTTGCAGGCAGTTGCATATCTATCAGTAATGATGTAGGAGTACCGAAAAAGACCAGGAGGACTGAAAAGGCCTTTTCCGACTTGTTGGTCATCGTTAGCCAGCCACGCCTAATTCCGTGTTTGAATAAACCTGAGATTCGACAGTAGGTCACGCGTCTGTTCCATCGGTTACGGATTTGTGGTCATTTCCGATGTAATTAATTGTTGCTATATAGTTGTCGAACAGATTAGGCAAAATGTATTCTACTCATATAAAACTTCTGCTGAGAAGGATCTGAGACACCGTGTAATCCATCTTTAAATATTGTCGGCAGTCTATCATAAATACCCTGAATCCCAGTTGCTGGTTCACAGGAGGTGGACCAAGTACCGGCTTGTTAGGACCATCGTTATGGGGGTTTAGAGTTATAATAAAAACTCCCATTCAGTAACAGGTACTGGTGGTCGAAGAAACTTACTATATGACCTCGGATCAGGCTCCTTAATATAAAGTCAAGTTCAGCTCTTCAGGGCCTGATCTAAATTCTCAAATTTTTCCCGATTGCAAGACACAGTGCTTGTGCTCTTCCGAAACGCCTTAACGGACAGTGGATTTCACAGCAGATCGCAGACGACAAAACGATCGATGAGGATGTACTAGTCACCATCAGTTTCATGGTCGTAATGACTCAACCCATTTCATTATTTATTTTTTGTTCTTCTGACATCCTTTCGAACGAGAGCATGTCAATGAGCATATACAGTCAGTGACCGATCTAATGAAATGCTAACCTGGCGTCTGGAAAAACAGCACGCGGTAAAAATGACTATCTAGGCGGTAATAGAAGCGAAGAGGCGAGTTCCAGGAAGTAGACGCGAAGAAGGAGACACGATCGCTGGATTAAGTGCTTTATTAGCCTGACGTTTCGGATTCTCACTCGAATCCATCATCAGAAACAGAGTCAGATAAGGGTAGTAAATTGCCCAGGTGTTGCAGTACTTGTAGGATGTAGTTGTTAGGCCGCTACATGCCTATCGCAGTT